TAGACTCCCATCACACCATGCAAGATCTCTGAAGGAAGACTGAACTCAGAGGAAGCATGTGGCAGCTCTCTGGCTGACTAAGTTGTTCAAAACGTTGTAAGTGCACTAAAGGAAGTGGACAGAAAAGTGTCTGCTGAAGAAACTCCCATATTCACCATGTAAGATCCTACCCACAGACATCAAGCTCCCGAAGGAATAACAAGCAAGCTACTGACCCTGGAAAGAAAGAAAAAACAAACAAACCACAAGCTGGAAACAGAAAGGGGCAACTCTTAAAGACAGGCTGTACTTCAACAATCTCAAGTTCTGCTTGCCCAAGAACATATACTCAGCAGTGGTCCAGTGGGCCTATGGAGCATCTGTCCAGAACCCTCATGAACTCTTTTGATCAATAAATACTCTGAAGTATCAGGAATTGCCTCTCTGACCAACAGTTACTGTAAATCTTGTGCCATTTGTGCCAAGGGCAACTCAAGAAGAATGGATGAAAGCCCCAAGCATCTAGCCAAACCTCATTATCTCTTCCAGAGGAGTCAAGTCGCCAGAATGCCAAAGAATGGTTGATTCAAATATGCACTAATTATAGCAGACATGTTTTCAGGATGGCCAGAGGCCTATCCAGCCACCAAAGTGATAACCAAGACCACATGCTGAGTAGTGCACCGTGAAAGATACAGAGATCACCCCGTGGGTTCATCATTCCAGAATCAAGCCTGCCTCTACATCATGTGAAGTAACATTTGTTGATCTTGACAACCCTTTTTGAAACTCCATTCTTAGAGAACAAAGATACTTGTTGAAAATAAATAAATAAATATCAACAAGTGGGTGTTTTGATGGCCATAATAATGCCTGACCACCTGCCATCGATGGAAAGCTGAATACCCCAAAAGGGGACCTCGTGAAACTAAAGAGAAACAAACATACTCCTTACCCTGCAGCCCTCATGTCTGAGGTGCCTACGCACAGTCAAAGCTTCTTCAAGATCATCTGCTTATCTTGAGTTTGTGGTGATATTAATATTGAATGTTTAAATGATCTGAATCTGCCAGTACTAGGGTAGCATGAGACAAGATTTCTAAGAATAAGTAAATGTGCCCTAGCCTAGGTTATTATGTCCATACACATAACACATGACAATCCCCAAGGTACTCTTGACACACCTCATTCATGCTTCAGGACAAAAAGGAGTACCCCTATAAAGGGTGGTTTTACCCACACATACATATATATGCATATTAATGCCATAGGGGTGTCAAGGGGGGTACCAAATAATTTTAAGGTAAGAAACTAAGTTTGAATCTATTCTCCCAAGCATTACGGCTAATAAAATCTGAATTGGAAGGGAAGAGGTTTATACAATAAACAGGAGACCTTTTTCTTACAGGACATGTATGACTCAGCTGAATGGGTAGGTGCCACGCACATGACTGTCAATCCCCTCAAACCACACATTAGGACTTTAAAAGACATGGTAGTCATCCCATATTTGAGGATAAGAGGGCTGTAGAGACAGGTTTCTCTGACACTAACTTGTGACTTGAATGGATGAAATACAATGCTACTAAACATAACAAGTCTAACTGCTATGTCTGCAGAGGAGCGAGGCCTCACCCAGGTACAGTATCCCTGAACCTTCCTCCGGATATGAAGTGTGCGTTTTAAGTCTCTACACTGTATTTAAACCTAAGCGGTCAGCATGCGAGTCATGGAAACTTAATACCCAATCATTACTAAAAATATTAACCCAGACGAAGGCATTACTATATAGCCCGGGAACTATACTTGTTATGGGATATATGGTGGGATAGGGCGGTTACAAACTATCTCTCAGATGACCTTCCAGAATAGAATAAGCTTGGAAATGATTTTAGCAGAAAAAGGGAGAGTATGTAAAATACTCCCAGACACCATGACATGCTGTACCTATATTCCAGATAATACAGGCCCTAATGGTAAGGTAACGTTGGCAATAGAAAAGTTAAAGAGTTTGTCCAATGAACTGAAACGAAATTCTGGGGCCACAGATCCATGGGAAAGATGGTTTGGATGGATGTCTGAATGGCAAGGTGCTCTGGCCCAAATAGGTGTTGCCATTTTAATAACGATAATCATCCTCGCTCTTCTTGTTTGTTGTGTGTTACCCTGTCTTAAGAAATGCCTACAAAAGACAGTTGATCAGACAATCGACCAGACCACCCCGACCTTCCTTCACCAAGAGATTGACGACATCGACCTTGATACACCACATACACCCTTACAGTCCCACCGCACTAAATCAACAGCTACTTCCTCTTAAGGACATTTAGGGATAGCGTCTGTCTCTACGGGCAGAAGTCTGCCGCGGGAGAAGTAGTGGACAAGCTGCTATGGGGTACCCGCGCAGTGAAGTGTTCGAGGCCTGTTCAGACAGATGTGCAAGATAGCCTTTTGTTATTTTTCTATAGGGACAGTATTAGAATGAGAGATAGTAGTTTTAGTAAAAATTGCCATTTTAAGGGGGGACTGTTATGGACAGATGAATTAAAATAAAATGGCTATTTACTAATGTCTATTTATTCTCTGTTCACTATGTTAAAACTGGCTTCTAGAGTAAATGTTCCCTTCCCCCCCCCTACAATGTGGTCAGCTGCTGTTTACTATGTAAATTCCTCACATCCTGCTAGCCTCCCCTCCCCCACTACCTTTGTGCCAGTTAACAGCTATATGCCATATATAGCTAAATGGAGGATCATTGGTTTAGAACTGATAGATACCACTCACTCCCCCTTTCTCCGTGTATCTAAAAGTGTGTAATGATGACACTACATTCTGTAGGGGGGTTTAAACAAGAGGCCCCTTTCTCTGTTAACCAATTGGTGAATGTATACTGTATGTTTAAACTGTGACGTATTTTTGCTTTAAGAAGGAGCCCCCACTCCGGGCAATAAAGCATTCCTGGGTTTTTCACTGATCAGAAACTTTGTCTCCGGTGTGAATTACTTCTAGGGAAAGCGTGCACGCATTAATTAATCAATTTGGAAGGTGTAGATAGACAAATAATCAAAGTTTTCTTTGATCCAAAACACCCTGCTGTATAGTCCAAAACCACTGCACGATGTCTCTGTGCACCAAATACTGGCGAGATGGCACCGTGTTGAAAAGTCCACACAGTGTCTGTGAGTTAAAATGGCCGCCATCCATTGTTCTCACCATGTGCTTCTGATACAGGAAATGGTGGCCACCCAGTAACTCCACAGTATGTCCCCAAATGGTTCTTAAAGGGCCAGCAGCAGCACAACACAAATCCATTATGCCCAAATCATGTCTTTAAAGGGCAATACATCCCAGGGGCCATAGTCACAGGGCAAGAGGCGGGCAAGCAGTCCTCTCCAGGCACAAGTGGCGAAGGGCACTTCGTCACAGCGTACTATACCGAACCGATCCTAACCGTACCGCTTAGTGGAAACAAGGCATTACAGTACCCCATTTAATGTCAATGTCACTTCCACTTAGTATTAGAAGAGTTAACAAATTTTTTTTGCATTATCTTTAATCTATCCAGAACAATTCATTCTTTTCATTATTGAGGCTTTTATAACATAATTATTTTTCTGTTTTGGATAATAAACTAGGATACTCGAACAATGTCATACAAAATCACTGCTTCAATAATAAGGTAAATAACAATCGCGAAAAAATATTTTAAAAATGGATTGTTTTTATTTGAATAATTTCCCAGATCCTACATAAAACATGTCATATGTCTTCCTACCAACTGGCTCATTGCTTGCTTTTAGCATTCTAATTTAGCTTGTAAAAGGTGTTAAATATGACAACCTGTTGCTGAAAATGTATTCAATGAATGTACCTGGGCATCGTCCCAAATAGCACAGCTAATTTCAAGTAATGAAGCATTATTACAGCTACTTTAATTACTACATTCTGGTTATTATTAACTTTGCATATTTAGTCTACTATTATCTGTGATATTAACCGATTTTTTCTTACGTTGAAACTTTTTACACAGTAATTAACTCTAGAGTGAAATTAATTTCGTATTTTTGAGTCATATTTATTTTCTACA